ACCAAGCTACTATCTGCTATACCTTTAAAGACTGGGCCCAGAAAAGGATGTCTGAATATTACAAAGATAAGTAAAATTTTTATGTTACTTACTTTACAAACTTAAGTTAATCTTTCATTCTTACTGCAAGTGGCAGATTTCAAGAGTTTTACCTCATGCGAGGTCTACCTTTATCGCCAAAAGGGCGAGAAATGAGTTGTGACCGATTTTCTTATTATGTTTTTCAATTACTCGCGCGTAAAACTAAAGTTGATGTATAATAGCGCGTTGTGTAAAGACTTAAATATTGTAAAAAGTTATTGTATAAATTTTATTTAAAACATTCTAGCAAGAAAGAAGTTTTAGTCTGAAAGACTTTTTGAAATGTAGTATTATTTCAATGTAGAAAGAATTGGCACTTGCTTTGAAAAGAATAGAAGTTAACAATGTACTACTAATGTATGTTTTCAAATGTGTAAAATTAACGGCATGTTGATATGTTCTTGTATACATGTGAACTGTTATTTTGAAATGTTAAGAAATATACCGTGATATGGTAAAAGTGAAAGTAATGTTAAAAATTTGTTATTCGTGTGACTGTAAAGATTAAATCATGACGAATATATGTTAAAGGTTGAATGATGTAGTTAGGCTCTCTGACGCTACACTTTAGAGTTAGCCACTTTCAGAATAGTACCTCAGGGTTTAGAGTTGAAATTAGGGTGTGTTAAGAGGTCTCGTTATGTTGAATTTTAACACGTTAGTGTTTTGATTGTAGGAGGAAGTGTGGCACACGTAGACAGAAACACATTCGTGTTTGGTGTTCTTTTACAACACATGTCAGAGAGCACGGGGAGAGATAATTAAAATAGTCATGAATGAAATAAGAATGTTAAGAAAAGTATATTCTATATGTTATTTGCAATGTCATTCTGTAACATTTCATTAAACTAGTTTTCCTTCCAGATCTCTGGAAGGAACCAGAATTGAATAAAGCTCCTGTTTAGATGCAGTACAGATGAAAAAGAAAAAAAAGATTGTTGTATATCCCGGGAGCTGCTATTGTAACAAATTTCTTTCTTTTAAATTTTCTAGTTTCTAGCTAAGTTATGATTTGTAAAAGGTTGGCCTCGCGTTAGTTTTTAGAGTTAAAAGTTTTCAACAAGGTCGTTTTAGACCTCAGTTTCAAACAAATTAACTCTGGCGGGAAGTATGTAAGGATCTTAAGTTTTACTAACGTTTATTTTATTTTAAATCTTTACTATCACTTCTTATTTTTCTACTTCCGGCCAGAATTATAAGCGTGAAGGAGTTTATGCAAAGTTGTCTGGCGAACGCCAAGTATTTAAGTGTGGCCTTTTTGCCAAGCAGAAGAGAGGAAGCAGTGAGTTCGAAGCAGGCCGCTTACCTTAGAAGTTACGCAGTTGCTATTTGCCTTCCAGGCCAGAGGTTTTAATCCTCTTGATAAATTAAACGTATTGTAGTGTTCACAGTCTCTGTGCTACATACGCTTCCTGTTATTATAAGGCCAATCTTATTCTAAAGTTAAATTAGAGTTTAGTTTTATTTTGATATCTTTTACGTTAGACCCCGAGTGGAGGGTCATTGTATTCCGAAGTACGGAAGTCATTGTATATAAAGAAAAATAAAGGGTTTTGTATACCCTTCGTCTGTATCCTGTCTACTTACTACAATTAGTGAACATAGCTTTAGTAAGCTCTCTGTTCCTAGTCAGGTCATTGTATGTTTCCGAAGAAGGTTAGAAGAAACATTGAACCTGATAACATCACATATACCTTTAGCAGCTATTATTATTCTATTTATGCAAATATTTTCTCTCTTCCTTTTGCTTGAAATTTCATATGATCCCTATATCTCTTCTGTTACCATGTCCATTCTCTTCCTTTTTTTTCTCTGACTGCTGACAATGCTAATTACTACTGCATTATTTAGTGTTTTCTGAAGCTAGTTGATGTATTGGCATATAGCATATTATTGTGAAATATTGTAAGCCAAAACAAATTCCGAGTTTTCTAACATACGGTGAGTAGCCTTTGCTTGATTTATTGCTACAACTTGTTTAGATGTTGACTCTGTTTTTCCCATGCATTTCATGCACGCATTGTATGATTTGTTCCCTACACTCATACACTGTATTGATGGTTAAACTCAAAATTTCACCTAATAGCTGAACCATAAGCTATCTGTTTTGTAACAGTTTCATCTAGAATGGCCTTTCTTTTGGAAGAGTTATTGAAATAGTGATATCACTCAGGTTGGGAAAAAATATCAAGCTTGCTGATTCTAAATGGTTGTTTTTCCAATAGTCAAACTGAGCTGATATGCATAGCAATGCACAAAGTGTGCTTTCTTTTATGTACATTGAATAAAAGCTTGAACACCAATGTGGTGACCAGTCATCATGCTTGCACAGTCATACATTTGTGATATTAATGTCTCGGGTTTGCCTGCTGCTATTTCCAAACTTGCTTGCATACATTCAGTGATGGATTTTGCATCAATCTGAGGTGAATTAGTGAATTCCCAGATCTCACAACCAGTTGTCTATTACTTGAATCGTATAGAAAAATGACAACCAGTTGTGAGTTGTGCTTTTAAAAACATTAGCACTAGTGAGAATGTCTTTAAGAGATGAAACAAATTGTATTGAGAAGTTGATAAGGAAAACTCATGGATTTAATTGAACCCTCATGTTTATCATATCCTTGAAATGCAGGTTTAAATGCACTAGAAAACAGCATGCTGTCAATAAATTTTGTTTGAGCATAATGGCTTTTGGTAAACTTATCATTGTGTCTTTTATTATTTGAACAAAATACACTGCCGAATCGTTCGTGAATATCCATCTTTTCTTGCAAACTAAATTCTGAGATGGAACTTAAAGATGATTGTGACTATTCATGCTTTTTAATTTTTTGAGTTAGATGTAATAAATCAGGAACCACATAGCTCACCCAACTTGAATCACAATTTTGTTTTGCAAACAGCTGACATGGAAAGCAAAACAGCCCATTAGTTTATTTCCATCAACACATCCATAAACATTTCTCATATAAATAGGATTTGAATTCCCTTTTAAAATCTGTAGCCTTACATTTCATCACGTGCATAAAATTTAGCAAAAGTATTGACCTGAGTAATTTCATTTCAGTTTTTCCTTCCGAAGACAGTGCTGAAAAATGTTAATTATTTCCAAAATACTGATTTTACTAAGTGCCATCTTAATTGTTAACACTAGTTCTTAAAAAATATTTATTTATCAAAAAATTATATTAATTAAAAAAGTAAGAAGAAGAAGGAAAAACAGTTTAATTGAATATAGCAAACCAAGGGGCATTTGGATGAAATAACTTCAGACAGAGTGATCTCCCACAAATTAAGGATGTGCAGAGCAACTGGTATCAGTGATGCCTTTTTCCCTCCCATTCCTCTGTCCACTTCTTTCCTCTTAAACTGGTTTTCAAGGGAATTGCTTGTAAGATAAGGAATAACCAAGTACTTTTTGCTGTAGTAACCTAACTATGTATTAGTAGTATATTTAAAAAAAAAAAAAAAAAAAAAAAAGGCGAATTTAACCTGGAAAATGAAAAAATCTGGAAGTGTATTTAATACTATTTTATTTAATTTGTTAATAAATTTATTTCTTCGTTTTTCTTTGAGGTTTTGCATCCTCTTGTGCACAAATAAAGGAGCCGCCACTGCACTAGTGTATAGTGGATTCTAGCTAATTTTTATGATGATAGATGTGAATCTGAAGATTTTTGGATGTTGTAAATAAAAAGTGAAATTTTCAAGTTAATGGAATTTTCAACAAAATGTGGGCAAGTGGTAATAAATGAAGATAGGAGTTTTTCATTGACAGTGGTATAATCATCAATCAACTAATCAAGGGGGCAAGATCTGTATTTGTGTTCTGAATCTAGAAAATAGTGCTACCAATAGTGGAAAAAATGCTAGAAACTTTGTTATGAATGAAAATTTTTGATTGACAATTAGGTAGGAAGCATGGCAATTACAGGCCATAAAGCAATGGAACTTTGTAACTCAGCTAGAAATTATGTCTGTCTATAAAAATCAAGGGAAAGTATTAGCTTAAAAAACCAAGCAACTTGAGCATAGACTGAAAGAAATGTCTAATAAAGCAAAGAAGTATTGAGCTGTTTTTATAAATTTTTATTCCCTTAAATTTTATAAATGCTTCATAATTTCATAAACCACACTTTTATATTTTTAATTTTATAATTTCTGCATGCAATCTTACTAGATTGAAACTGATGATCTAATATCCAGAAATATCCCAAATCTGAAATCACTGAAGTCCCAATGAGTGTGTATATTTTCCATTAGTATTTAGTGCTTTGTTTATGCATTTAGCAACTAAAATTCATTGGTGGGCTTAAAAAATGAATTAGTTCATATTTTAATAATTTTCTGTTTAATGCAGCATTGTGATTATTTACTGGTTGAATAAATGAGAGATACTTATAAATTTCACACCTAGAATGTCTTCAGAATTTTGATTAATCAAACTTGAACTGAATGTTGAAATGTAAAATTTGAAATTTTTTTTCTTTTCTCAATAGGTCTAATTTTTGATTAATCAGTTACTTCTCTTACTTAATTTTTTCTGCTTAATTTTAGATGATTGAAATATATTCATACATTTCAATAATTTAGGGATTTATATTATCGTAAGAGAGAAGTAGTTACATCGAACAAATACTAATTTAGAAGTCAAACAACAAATGAACCATTTGTCCTTTTCAACCAAGAAGTCAACCATTTGCCCATTTGCAGCTGAGGATGATGGTTCGGTAAAACCATCGAAACTAGTCCTGTGGAAATTTGAAAATATAATGCTGAATTTTGTTGACTTCTAAATTAAAGTAGTTACATTGTTTTATAGTGTGTATTGTATGATTATGAGCCAAATTATTCTAGACATAAATGTATTTAAATAATGAATATTCATATTTTTTAAATATATTGTTTCTATTTAGAATTGAAGCTGAAGATTTTGCAAAGTTACAAGAAATGATGGCAAAGTTACGTTCAAAAGATGAAAGATGCAAAGCATTTAAAGAAGAAAAGACTTCTTCTATTGAACAAGTAAGCTTTTTAATTTCTATTTAGAATTGCACTAAAATTTTCATTTAATTTCAGTTGTTAATTTGAAACATTTCTTTAGTAAATGGATATTTTTTCTTTTAATTTTGTGTATTTGTGCTCTTTTAGTCAGATAAGCATTATAATTTGAGAATGCATATAATGTTGAAAATGGTAGTCTGACATTTTCTTTTAAGGCATTAACTAAAATGACTTCGATGTAGGTTGTGGTGATATATGAATTTAAAAAATATTGAATTAACATTGTGAGAAAAATAGCTTGATTCTATAAAAAGATTTGAATTTCCAATATTGATGTAAAGAATTACTATGGGATAATTGGGATGCATTCTCAGTTTTGCTACCATCCATAAAAAATATTTTTCATCATGTTTCAGCCTCATGAAGGATTGCTGTGACATTGTAATTTTATCTAAAGAATACTGTTATGGTCAAGTCTCATTTTTGTCTGCGGGCTGATCACTAAATAAAAGCCTGCAGAGAGTGCAGATCGATGAGATCTTTAGGTATTAGATATTAGGGTGGGCTGAAAAAATACTTTTATAAAAATTTTCTGTTGCTATACATCATGAAAGTTGCCTGGCTAAGCAAAATAAAAAAAATCAAATAAAATTGTATCTTCTGTTCTTGCATTGTATTTGAAAATGGCTGCATCATAGAAAATCACTTCAAGAAAAGATTTTTAACCCCTTCGCGCCGACTGTCACGTATACGTGCCAGCAACGAGCACACTTACCTACCGGCCGACACACAGGCGTGCCAGAGCATTTTTGCGTTTACTACCGACTGTCACGTATTTGTGCCAGTACCCTGGAATGTTTTTCAAACTATAATTTCTGCCACAAGATGGCACTGTATGTCCATATGGTTTCAGATACATGTACATTAGACCTTCTACTCGAAATGAGAGAAGCATGACTCACATACACGTGTTTTTGATTATATAAACAAAGGGGGAACTAAATATTTCCGAATGGCGTGATTTATGACGTCTCTTTAAATCGCACTTTATTCGCACGTAGTAGTTGTTTATTGTAAGTAGAAGTTTTATATGCGCTAAAGCATTGAGTATTTCAGTTTACAGTTCAGTTTTTAGAAAATAATTAGATCTTGTTAGACGTGAATTCTTTCTGTTTTTACCGTTTCAATGTCGAAGATGTTTAACAGAGCATGAAATAACAGAAATGATGCAAAATATTTCAGATATTGATTCTGAAATTCTGATATTGATTCTGAAAGATTAACTGAAAGACATTTTCCAAAACTTTGTTCAGAAGAGACTGATAAGAAAATGAGACGACGATGCTTCGTTTGTTCACATTCCCAGAAAAATCCTCCAAAACGGCAAATGAGTTATTACGAGTTCAAGGAATGTAACGTAGGAGTGTGTGTAGATCCCTGTTTTCAAATTTTTTATACGAAAAGAGAATTTTAAGTAATATATTTAGTTTTCAGATGTATAATGTTAAAAGTCATAAAATAGTGAGTAATTAAAATAAAATGTGTAAAATATGCATTTATTTAAACAAGAAATAAGGTAATTTAAAGTATATGTTAAAAAATATCTATAAAGCAGAAGCCGTTTAAATACTCTATAGAGCATTATTAAACAATGCGTTGATACTTCGGAAATTTCATGGATTTAGACTTAGTAGCAAAAAAGCCTCCTGCCTTGGAGAGACGCTCGCGGAAGACACTGCCGGCCTCCACGATAAGTGCGCGTTTTCGCTACCCGGCTCAAAGGGGTTAATGCTCAGTATTCGATAATCCAATAGAATTTTATGAATAAGCTTCCTAATTATGAGAATGTCCTAATGTGCTGTGTCTGTGTGCAATATGGGTTGTTGCTAAGTGTCAACAACAAAAGTGTGAGATTTTATGAAGTGGCTGCAACAGTGGCTAAAAAGACTACGTATTTATTTGTGTATTAAAACTTTTATTCCTGTAGCGTCCGTACTTGAACATACTAAATAGATACAACTAAGTGAAAATTCTAATGTTTAAGATGGTGCTAATGATATTGATATAGTCCAGCCTCAGATGAGGCACCAACAAAAAAAACTGTGGCAGAAAAGGAATAAACTAGAACATCATAATTGGTGGGTGAGTGATTTTGAAGGAGCAACTGCTGCAATCTTGCCATCTCATTTTTAAAATTAGGGTGTGATAACTAATTCAGACAGTTCTTATGTTGTTTACAAAAACAAAGAAGAGGAAAAACTTACAACAGAAATTATTTACAGAATCAATTTATTAAGGAAACGCTACATAATCTGTACTTGGATGGAATTATGGTAAATAAAAAATTTAATTAATTTTTGAAGAACTGAAAAAGAGGACCGCTGTTCCCTCATACAACAACTGGGGTCAGAATATATCAGCCACGCTTGTTCCTTTACAGGGCTTGCTAAAGATATAGCTTGTATCATAATTTTCAATTTGACTGCATGTGAAATTTTCCTTGAATTTGATGTGATAGGGAGGGATAAAACTGTAATTTATACTGGTGTGAAAAATGGTGTTATCCACCAGATCAGATTTCATGTTGGTAGATCACTGCAGTGGGCTGTACATATCCTAGACTTTAGAGAACTGCAGTTCTGTCACATATTTTATGTTACCACAGGACCCAAATTCTTCAGTTGACTGATTGAAAAAAATTATGCAAGCTGTGAAAAACTTCCACTAGTTCACTTTGAAAGTGCTGAATGCCTCATTTCTCAAGTTCATAGAAAATTGCTGAGCAAGAATAAATTAGACTTACCTGATATTTCTGCTACCATAGAGTCAGGTACAATTTAGAAGATTTGGTAGCTCATAATCCTGGTCAGCTTTCACGCTCTAGATGGTTGATGACAGCAAATTGATTTCTAAAATTTTGCATGAGCTTAGAAAAACTCGTTGATGAAATCAGGCAGCTGATACTTTTTATTTTGAATTATTATACAGTCAAAAGTCGTTAATCCGGACTCGTCGGGACTTTGGCGATTCCGGATTATCGATTTTTCCGGATTATAGATCATCAGTTTAAATCTGGTAAGATGGCATGCATAAATTATAAAGTTAAAAATGTGAAACCGTAATTTATGAAATAAAGAACAATTATGATCTAAAGGGTATCAAAATTTACAAAAAGAAAAAGCTTAATATTTATTTGTTTACTTTATTAAACATTTCCTTCAATGTAAGTTGTTTAAGTTGCTTCGTTTTTTATGTGATAATACTTTCTCTTTAATTCTATAAACAGACATAATTTCTTGTTCAGTTACAAAGTTCCGCTGTTCAAGTCCTATAATTGCTGTGTTGAGAATACCGACCAATTTGCCAATCGAAATTTTTTCATTTTCAATAACCTCCGAGTCACTTTCTTCGCTATCGGAAGCGAATTATAATGACGAGGAATTTGATTTAAATTATATCAAAGACGGAGTACATCGAGATGAAATACTACATTTAGTAAGAAATTATAAGCCAAATAAAAAAAAAAACATCTGCCCTGAAGATAAAGATAGTACTGACAGATCAACTTCCAGTTCATTGCGCGCCGCGACGTCCCCCCCCCACACACATGCAGAGCAGCGTGAAATTGATAAACAGATTTCGGAATGGTTAGATAAACAAAGGATATGCCTTTATCCATTTTTTGCAGCAATTCCACTTTTTGTTTAATGGACTTCGAAACATACTTTCGCTTTGTAGATCCTTTACATATTAGTAAATATATATCAGAAATTCTATTTGACATAATCGAAAGTTCAAGCTTACTTTTATAAAATTGCTCTAACAGTCTGCAAAAAATAATTAGTCGAATCCAATTTGAAGATTAAGGAACAATGCAATCTGCAACATTAACTGAATTAGATAATTTTAGCTTAGCTTATACCGTATGTTATACATTAAACGCACATTCGTAAACGTATTTTGCGCATGCGCACACGCATATTCGCAGCCATAAAGGTCTTACGCGCATGCGTCAGGGTGATGCATGCGCAGAAAGTTTGTAGCTTTGAGGTCTGGATTATAGATCATTCCGGATTATGGGTGTCCGAATTAACGACTTTTGATCTATCTCATTCAAAATCAAAACCAACAAAAATTTCACAGATGGTCCAAAGATATTTTTGAAGCCATTTACTGCAACACATTAACCCAGTAACTAAATTGTTACATATCTCTCTCATTCAAAGTCAAAACCAGCAAAAATTTCACAGATGGTCCAGAGATATTGTTTGAAGCCATATCTTGCAACACATTAAGCCAGTAAGTTAGTGGAATTCTTTCTTTGCTCATCCTGAAAATTTCATCCTTACAATGATTGTGGATGAAAGGAGACCAGAGAACTAACTGTGCTGATTGTGGAAAACTTGATCACTTTCCAAGGAAAAATATATTCAAAACTTCACCATGCCAAAACTCAACTTTGAAGCAAGAGACTGCATCAACAGGATTTGGTGAGATAGCTATAATATCTCTTCTCTTCCACGATTAAGGAATATTATTGATGAGGGCATCAAAAATCTATTACAGACTGAGACACCGAATTTCCTTATCACCGTGAGGCTTTAGAACAGTATTTCAGTCTTGCCAAGAAGTATCTAAAAAACGTGTGTGAACTGTTGCAAGAGATTTCTTGAATAGGATGACCTTCTATCAAGATGTATTATGCCAGAATTTTCTCCCAAACCAATTCTAAGGTGCCAACTTTTGAATAATAAAATTAAAATTGGTTACTGTTTTGTTTATTAAAAATAAAAAGTAAAATTACAGTACAAAGTCTTTAATCCGGACGTCCATAATCCAGAATGATCTATAATACGGACCTCAAAGCTACAAACTTTCTACGCATGCGTAGCATTTATGCATATGCGTTTATGCATGTGCATATGCATTTATGCATGCGCATAATACCTTTACGCATGAGCGTTTAATGTATAAAGGATGGTATAAGCTAGGCTAAAATTATCTAATTATCTATTTCAGTT